ACCTATCCTAGAAGAGCCTTCAGGACCCCTCCCAGTGCTATGGCTGCTGTCCACCCTGAGTGATTGGTGCTGGACTGTCACCTGCTGGTGTGGGCATTTATGCAGGAGCTGGTGGCCATTCCAGGATGGCTCTTGGGGCTGTCTTCAGGAGTGGCATGACTGCAGGCAGTGATCCCTCCCAGTTCCCACTCAGGGTCTCTCCAGATGAGAGCCTTGGGCAAGGCACGAGGGCTTATGAAGGCCACAGCGCCATCTGGCTGAGACCCAGGTTCTGCCCACGACCCTTGCCCTTGGAGATACTAACCACAAGGCTGGAGTCCACAGGCCAGCAAGATCACAGAGGCCCACATCAGAGGGCTGGGCTCGGGCAGGGGCTGTGAGTGATGGACTCTCTTTGCGCAGCGGCTGAGAAGGGGAGAGAGGGCAGTGCCCTTGGGGAAGTGGCCCATGTACAGGCAAGGGAGTGAGAGGCCTGCTGAGGCCAGGGGGCTTGAGTAGAGGGTGTGGGGGAGAGAGCGAGGCTGGGAAGGAGAAGGGAGCAGGCTACAGTGAGAGGGCCTGCCGTGCCTGAGAAGAGCTTGTACCCCATCCTCTGGGCAGCAGGGAGCCAAGGACGGTGCCTAAACAAAGGAATTATAAGACAAACTTCATTTGGCAAGGCTCATTTAATTTGATGAGTATGACCAATCTCCGCATTTGGCAAGTGGAGAAATTTAAGGGTGAAATGAATAGGAGATACAAAAGTCCTTGGAAATCTCAAACACCCGTACTGCTGAGGGCATTAGAGATATGTGGGGAAGCTGTCTTTCTGGTTTCTAACGGGCTCAGAGCTGGATTAAATTAAAGCAGGGCGAACACTAGTTGGACATACAGAGAGACTTCCCAACCATGATGGGAATTCAAACATAACAACAGTGGCCAGAGCCACTCACATTTGCCTTGTCCCTGATTCCCTCTAAGAGGGCAGGTTCACCATTCTGCATGAGGTGGCTGCTCTGACTGCCGAGGCCCTTTCTAGTTCAGGAGGCCATTGTAGGCCTGGTGATCCCTCTGGGGCCACTCAGAGCCCTGGGCTGGGGGGACGCTGACTCTTCTTTCTCCATGCCTGGTCTAGGGTGCAGACGAGTTTATGGGCCGCTGCATCTGTCAACCGAGTCTGGAACGGATGCCCCGGCTGGCCTGGTTCCCACTGACGAGGGGCAGCCAGCCGGCGGGTGAGCTGCTGGCCTCTTTTGAGCTCATCCAGAGAGAGAAGGTGAGGCTGTCCATGTCCAGATCCAGAGGCCCCAGAGGCGGGGTGGGGTGGAGGACACAGGCAGGGAGAGGCCCTGGTGGGAGGAGGGGCTGCCGATACACCCTTCTTCCCCCACCAGGGGTCAGCACACAGTGGGAGCCCGGACCCCCATATGCAGACTGGATAGAAGTAGGGCTGCACTGGAGGAAGTGTCTGGAGGGACCCAGCATGCTGTCAACCTAGCTCCTCCTGCACCTCCCACCCCCCTAAGGAATAGTGTCTGCAAAGCCCTGGACTGTCTGGTCATTGACATGTTCCATGAGTGTCATTTCCGGCCAGGGTAGAAATGAGGGTGATGATGCTTGGCTGACAAGCACATGACCTAAGCTCTCTCTCTACCCTAGCCGGCCATCCACCATATTCCTGGTTTTGAGGTAAGTCTTGCCCTCCTCACCTTTTCTTCTTCTAATTGATTGCCAGCCTCCCTGTGTTTGCAGCCCCCTCGGGGCTAGGAAGGGCAGTCAGGCATATCCCACCACCATCCTGCCCTGAGCCCCCAGGAAAGCTCCTTCAGGCAGGGGAGGGCCTGGGTGGAGCTGCAGGGGTAGGGTGGGAGGGGCTGGGGTCCTCATTTTACTCAGAAACTCCCTTCCCAGCTCAGATCTTGCCTGCCCTTCTTCCCTGAGAAGTCTGAGAATCACAGACTCCCAGATGGAAGGGACCTCATGGTCGTCTAGCCCAGTGGCCCTCAGCCAGGCTCACATTAGAACCCCCTGGGCAGCTTTAAAAATCACCAGTGCCCAGGCCCTACCCCAGACCAAATGAAACACACTCTCTGGGGGTGCAGCCCAGGCCTGGGTGTCTCACGACACTGCCCAGAGATGTTGATGTGCACGGGGGCTGGGAACCATTGACTCAGCCCCATGGCCCTGAGAGGGTGGTCCCACCAGCAGCGTCAGCACCACCTGGGATGTTGTTGGAAATGCTGGTTCTTGGCTCCCACTTCAAACCCACTGAAGCAGACTCTGAGGGTGCAGCCCAGCAGCCTGTGTATCAGCTAGCCTGCCAGTGCTTCTGATGCTGCTCGAGTTTCAGAAGCTCTGCTTCAGACTGCATTTCCCACTACTTGTTCCCACCATGACCCTGTTTTCTTTCTCCGCCGGGGGTGGGGCTTCATTCGCTTGTCGCTGCTCTCCTTCCTTCTCCTCGGGGTCTTGGTAGAAAACATAGACCTTCAGCTGGTACCTGGGCTAATTTGACTCATTACCCTCCTCCAGACCAGGCTCAGCTGCAGCTCTGAGAACTGGTCCGTTGGGGCTCTGTGTGGATGCCTCATTCGCCCCTCACAAAGCAGCCCACACATGTTTACACAGTTTTTACCATGTTTACACAGTTCTTACTGTACGAGCCCTCCTGTGCCACCCCCCATCCCACTCCACTGTCTGCCTCTCCCCTCCTCCTGGTTTCTGTCCCTGTCCTGTGCAACCTCCAGCTCTCAGTTCTGGCTTGTGCGTTAGCCTTTCCCACCAGTCTCCCTGCATCCATATGCATCACACCTACTTTCTCAGGGACCACGTGGAGGGCGCGGCTAGGGAGCACACCATCCTTACCCTTGATGAGGTTTCTGTTGGCTCCTCTTAGTGGTGGCACTTGGTGTGCTGATCTCTGGACTGGCCTAGTGTTCCTTGTCACTAATGGTGAACTTTCACCACTCACCCCCACTGTTTCCTTCTCCTGGATGTGGAACCATCACACTCATGATTGTGTTCCAGGTGCAGGATACATCAAGGATCCTCGATGAGGTGAGCTGGACCCTTGAGGCTATGGCCCAGGGCGGGGGGAGGGTGGCCAGAGACAGAGGGAGGTGAAGGCCAGCCTCCAAACGTAAGCCCAGTAGGCACCTGCCACGTGGAGAACTACCTGGAACTTATTCCCCATCCTGTGTGTGGATCCTGGGCTGCCTGGCCAGAGACAGAGGGAGGTGAAGGCCAGCCTCCAAACGTAAGCCCAGTAGGCACCTGCCATGTGGAGAACTACCTGGAACTTATTCCCCATCCTGTGTGTGGATCCTGGGCTGCCTGGGGTGTGCCTTGGGGTGATTCTAGCTTCAGAAGGCTTGCTGCCCTGTTAGGAGGCCAGACCCACCCAGACTGCATGGACAACAATATTGAGTCTTATTTGGTTGAGTACCAGGTAGCACGTTTACAAGAATAAAATGTTTGGAGGGGGCCAGGGTAGTCAAGGAAGGCTTCCTGGTGGAGGCAGCATTAGCCAGATATTGTTGCACCACTTAGGAGGGAGGTGGGAAACATGCTTTTGGCTTAAGGGGCCAGGGACCAGTTTGGGGCTTGGCTGGTTTAGGGGATGGGGTGGGTTGGGACTTCCTAGGGACTGGAAGAAGTTTGGAGTTTTTGTCTAGATGAAGCAAAGCCATGTCCTTTGCCTTGGGGAGTGAGGAGCATGTTCCCTTATGGCCTCCTGTGCTTCTGTGAGCAGATCGATATGAGTAAACCAGGGGCAAAGGCCTGGGTAGAGAAACAGGAAGGCGAGCCCTGGTCAGATGGAACTGGGGAAAGGGCAGCCACTTCCTGCCATCAGGGAATCCCCAGGCTGGGAGCGGACACCACTTGACATTTTCAGTGCAATTTGGAACTTGAAGTGCAGGGTCAGGATGTGGGATCCACAGGCCCCACACCCCTTACCTCACTTCCTTTTGCTCCCAGACCGAGGTGGGGTCCGCCAAGTGAGCCGGCCTTAATTGCGCCTGACAGGCAGCCTCCTGCTTCTGGCTGCAGTTGCGAAAGACTGCCGATTTGGAAAGGGAGGCAGAGCCCTGTCCAGGGAAGCAGCACGGAGCCCTCTCTCTTGATTGAGAGCACTCTGTGGCCAAATCCCACAGCCTGCTCTGAAGAAGACCCAGCCCAGGGATGAGTTATTAAAAAAAAGTTAAAATTCTTAATAACTGGATTTGTAATATGTAACAGTGAATACTCAGATTCTGAGAGCAAGGATCTGGCTGTGGTCTCTTCGTCAAAAAGCAAATCAAAACTGCAGCTTTTGGGCCAGACCTGAAGAGAGCCAAGTGTCCTGCTACAGGGCCAGCCAGGCCACAAGCTGAGGCCAGGTGTGGGTCAGCAGGGCCAGGGGACAACAAGTCCTGGGGGTCTACTGGGCTCAGGGCTGAGCTGAGCCAGCAGTTTCAAGGGTCCGAGGCCCATTACAGTGAATGGAGTATCAGCTGGTCCAGAGAACAACCCTGGAAGATGACCTTGTGACCCCCTTATCCCCAGGGAGCCTCGCTTGTCCCTGGTGCCCATAGCTCAGACCACTTCCCCCTCACTTGAAGGCTAAGACTTGTGCCAAGATCCTAGGTCCTATTTGGTTTTAGGAATCCCCGGGGGCTGGGTGGAGGCAGGTTAGTCCTGCTGCTGCCACTGGTCTTGCAGGAAGCCTGATGCCTCAGCAGGATTTTTCTGTTTTCTTTGCGGTGGCCAAGCTCCTGCCTTGGATCCCCATTCAGCCCCTTCCAGGCTCCCGGCCTGATCCTGGTGGAGAGCACTCCAGCCTTCCTGGAGGGCCATGAGAAGACATGCTGGGAGCTCAGATCCTGGGCCACTGGCTGCTGGCGCCCTTGAAAGTCTGGGAGCAAAGAGGGGAAGGATGGGTGTATCAAGCTGTCTGGCTGCAGGGGGTATGGGCTGGGGACCGAGGAACTGGGGAGAGACCAGCTAGGAGGCTTTTGAGACTGTTGGGATAATGGGGGCCTGGGCTGACTGGAGAGGGGCCAGGAGGAACAGATGGGACAGGTGACTGTGAAGTATGGTTTAAGGTCGGTGTCTCCTGTGGGAAGTGGTTTTTTGGCTGGCACAGCCAGGCGCAGAGATTCCCATGTGCCCTGTGTCAGCCAAAGTGCCTGTGAATGAGATGAAATGCTTCCTGCCCATGCTGATGGCTCCCTGAACAGGACAGTGGGGATGGCTTCCTGGAGAAGATCACACTGAGCTGACTGTTGACAACAGGCATTGGCAGAAAGGGAGAGAGAGAGGGCCTTGGCTGCAGTGCCTTGGGCTGGAGATGAAATGCTTCCTGCCCATGCTGATGGCTCCCTGAACAGGACAGTGGGGATGGCTTCCTCGAGAAGATCACACTGAGCTGACTGTTGACAACAGGCATTGGCAGAAAGGGAGAGAGAGAGGGCCTTGGCTGCAGTGCCTTGGGCTGGTGGGGTCTGGTCACAGCCTGGGGCCAGTTCCGCAGGCAACAAGCTTTTCCCTCACCCAGCTCTATGCCATCTGGAAAGTCCCTCTTTGGAGCACTTGGTGGGGAAGTGGGACTGTTGCATTGTGTGTCTGAGGCTTTGGTGATGTCGGGGAGACCTGGGCCCTTGCAGGAGGGCGGGTGGACAGAAGGGCTTCCTTCCCGCTCTTGGGCCATCTTTTTGTCTTTGTCTTTCCCTCTCTTCCGAGCTTCTCCCTGCTCTCCCTTCGTATTTCACTCTTCCTGTTTGCTCCTTGGCCCCGTCTCCCTCCTTTTCCCCGCCTCTTCTGAGCCCTCTGTCTCGTTTCTTTTCCTTTTTGTCTGGAGAACAAAGGCGGTCCGCGCTGCCAAGGGGAATGAGTTCAAAGAAACTGCAATTTTAGATTTCCTGAGAACTGGGGAGTATGTGTGTTCATGTGTGAGTGTGTGCGGGTGTGTGTACGCTCACGAGAATGCACACATGCACACACACGCGGCAGAAGAGGAGACCTCGGCGGGCTCCTTAATACCCAGGGGCCCCTAGGATGTGGAACATGTGTGGAAGACCCCATAGGGGTTTGCTGCCCTGACCATTTCGGGGGGGCGTGGTTCGCTTCTGTTGCTTTTCTCCTGCTCCTGGGCAGGGGATGCCCTGTTTTCACTGCTGGCTCAGGGGATCGACCAGATGTCACTCCGTCTGCCCTTCCAAATCCAGGTGATGTGGTATATGGCTTTCGCTCTGAGATGTATCCAAGGTATTCTGCTGCACCCTCGAATCCATTAGAAGGAAAAATTTGGTGTTTCGCAATCAGGAAAATAAACCCAGTGGTCCCCCATCCCCCTATTCCTCCCCCAAGGCCTTAATTTAAAACACTGTTTTTCCTGGGAAGTGTAATTAGAGCAACATGTTGTTCCTAACGAGCTGGGTGGGGCAGGCAGACAGTGAAGCCCTCCCAGCCCGCCTGGCTGCCCCCTGCCTGGAGCTCCCCGAGGAACCAGGATGTGAATGGCCAGAAGGTCCCCTGACGGTCCCCTACTGGGTGAGGTGGGAGTCTGTGGGCTACTGGTGACAAGGCTGACCTAGGTGGCTGGAGAGGCTTGCTAACACTTCCCCTGCCCTGGAAGTGAACCTGTCTAGTGTGGTGGCCCCTAGGACTTGGGGGGAGCCCCTTCATGGCTCAGGGCCTTGGCTCTGTGTGCTGGACTGGCCAGCAGAACAGATAGACTGAAGGGGGCTGAAGGGTGGCTTCTGCTCTGATGGGGTAGAGAGCCTTGCTTGTCTTTGGGGTCCTCTTGGTGTGAGCTGGATGGGTAAGCACCCTGCACACCTGTAGCTCCATCAGTGTAGCCACCCCAGATCTTCCCTGCATTCGGGGTGGAGAGGGTAAGCAGGGAAGGGGCTGGTCAAATGTGGCTTCCTCTAGTTAGGCTTATATTATATGGCTGCCCATGAAGTCTGTGTCTTTAGAGTCTATGTCACCCATAGGACAGTGAATCAAGATGTCCTTTTAGTCTGCTTAGCCTCCTGCCTGGCAATGCCGATATGTTCCCCCAGTGCTGAGGAGGGTCACGGCATCCCCATTGAGAACCTCCTGGAGAGAGGGTGTCACACCCCTCAGCTGGGCTGGACCAGGAAGAAGTTGAGAAATGGGCTCGGGAGCTGGCTGTCTGGCCGAGGCCTCAAGATTCCTGCATGTGAGATGATCTGAGGCCAGTCAGGACCTTGGGAACAGGGGGCCCGGGGTTACGAGAAGTTACACAGGGTTAAGAGAAGTCAGAGAGTAGGTCATAAGAAATTTCTGGAGTGTTTGGGGAAATTTTCTGGAGGATGGAGAACTTGAACGAGGCCCTGTAAGATGTATTAGATTCAGGAAGGCAGCAAAGGAAGCCATCCAAACTGAGGGAGCAATGAGCAGGCATGGGGCGGGGGGGCTGGTGAGCGTCCAAGGTTCCGGCCGGAGCAGGCAGGAGCGCTGGAGGGCGGGACAGGGTCATCTCTCCATCCACCCATGCCCTCCCTCCTTCCTTCCTTCAATTATCTATTCATAATCATTTATTGGTTGGGGGCTTTGGCTATGGTCCCATATATAGAATTGTTGGTTTAATTAGGGACACAGAAAAGTGAACACACAGAGATGGCACAGAGTGACTGATGTGCCTTTCAGTGGAAGTAAGTACAAGTTGCTATGGGAGCCATGGGGCTACTTAAACTCAAGCTCAGGGCATCAGGGAAGATTTAAATGGACGTCTTTAGTCTGAGTGGGAGGAACCGAATGAAGTGGGGAAGAAGCGCGTTCCAGACAGAGGGACCAGCGAGCTCCAAGCCTCAAAGCCATAGAGAGCACAGTGCCTTCTGCGACCTGCTAGTGTTCAGAAGGGCAGGTGTTGAGCACGTCCAGGGAGGTGGCTCATCGCTACTTGAGGTCCTAGAGGGAAATATTTATGTAATGAGAGACGAGCCCAGAGAAGTCAGCAAGAGCTAGAATATGAGGGGTCTTGGAGGCCACATCAGAGATTGCACTTCATCCTAAGTGGGTGGGGAGAATTTGAGGGGCTTTCAGCAGAGACTGACATTATTAGAAAGCTCACCCCAGCTGCAGAGTAGGGTGTGTGCAAAAGCAGATACAAGGAGACCACTTAGGGGGATGTTGGTGGATCCAGGTGAGAGAGGGTGCTGGCTTGAACTGAGGAAAGGAGACGGGTGGATGGGCGTGAGAGGTATTTAGGAGACAGATTCTCTGATGGTTGGTGATCAGTCAGGCATTGTGATGAAGGGGAGGAGGAGCCAAGGGTGGCAGGGGGCTTTGGCTTGGTTGTCCAGAGGACGGTCAGCTGGCTGGACGCTGCTGAGGGGGACGGAGAGAGGGGCTCACAGTGTCCTTTGGGTTGAGCTACAAGCAGCTGATAGTTGACTTTGGAGGGAGAAGTTTCTGGGGAGGGGTGCAGGAGGCAGCAGCAGGGTGCACTGGCACTGGGTGGCAAGGAAATGAGGGAGGAGGGGCAGTGGATGGAGACGGGAAGAGAGAGGAGAGGGCAGCTGCTGGAGGGGCCAGAGAGGAGGACGTGGGTGGCTTTGAGAGACGTGGGTGTCTTTAAGTGGGGACAGAGGGGATCCAGTGATGGTGTGAAATTGGGGAGGACTGGAGGAGACAGGGTGAGGGATTTGGGGAGCATTAGGAGTGGACGCACAGCAACAGCTCATGGGTGCTGAGACAGCCAGGGTGGTCTCAGGGGAAAGAGGCCGGGCTCGGGGCAGCCACAGAGGCAGGGGACCTGGGGAGTTGGCAGCAGATGGCAGGGAGCGAGAATGTCCTGGGGCCCCTGGGGACAGCGAGGTGGACAGAGATGGCCTCGGGATGAGGATGGTGGCCTCGCGCTGAGGAAGCTGGCCTGGGACCCCCCTCTAACCATGTCTCTGCTTGTCTCTTCCTCCTGCCTCCGCGGGCCTGGCGCTCCACAGCTGTGTGCTCCTGCCTTCCTCCTCCAGGGCCTTCTGCAGACGGTACTAGAGCTTGACCTTCTCGAGGTCCTTGTTCCCCCAGCCTGCGCGGTAGGCAGGTTCCTGAAGGTGGGGCGCCTGGTCCTCAGTGTACAGAGAGGAACATCACCAAGGAGCTCCAGGGGGCCTGGAAGGAAAGATGGAACGTGGAAATGAGGGATAAAAAGGATGCTGCCCACAGTCTGGGGACCTAGAGAGGAAACGTTCTGGGGAGAATGTATTCAGGAGTGTTCCTTGGTGATTTTAAGAGAACAGCCATGTGAGAGAGGCTGGTCTTTCTCCCACTCAGGGGAGCATGGGGCTTTTTTGTCCCTGGTCCCTTCTTTTTTGCCCTTTTTTGTCTTGGGCTTTTGGCCCCAGGCTCACATTTGGTTGGCCATCAGCCACAAGAGGCCATGAGTAAGCAACAAGCGGCCCTTCAAGCACAACCTTCCTTTAATAGGCCACCCCTGCTGCACAGCCACCTACAGCTGGTGGCCTTGGAGTGCCAAGGGTAAACATTAAACTGGGGGTCCCTCTGGCAGCCAGGCCACTGCAGTGGCGATGCAGGCCCTGCTGCCATCCTCCAGGGGCACCTTTCATGCAGACTGTGATGTGCACAGTGCCCCTGGAGCTGTTCACCGTGGCAGCCCTGTACATCACACCTGCTTTCCCATGGGTCTGGAGGAAACTGACGAGTTCCTTCACCTTGTACCTTGGTGACTTAGGGATAGTGATAAAGCCAAAGTTGTTCTGAAAGATGCTTCTGGTGGGTCCGCTCTCCTCAAGTTGCTCTGGGAAGATCAACACCAACATCAGTGGTAAAAACAATGTCACCAACAATTATCGTAATAAACATAGTCGAAACCGTTTATTAAGCACCTCCTGTGTGCCAGATACTCCTCACATTTCTTTCCTCATTTAATTCTCAGAGCAACTTCTGAAGGGTATTGTTATCCCAGATCTTCATATGAGGATACTGAGTCACTGAGGTTGAGTAATTTTCCCAAGGTCAAATAGCTAGGAAGCGGCAGAGCTGGAACTAGAGCGAAGATCTGTCTGATTCTAGAACTGAGCTTCTCACCGCTACATGTCAGGGAAGCATGAGGTTGAGTAATTTTCCCAAGGTCAAATAGCTAGGAAGCGGCAGAGCTGGAACTAGAGCGGAGATCTGTCTGATTCTAGAACTGAGCTTCTCACCGCTACATGTCAGGGAAGCATGGTGTAATCAGGGTGTCACTGGGCAGTAGTGCTGGCTTGGACTGGTTGCGAAGTGATTCATGGAGGTGGGAGGAAGCTGGTATTTTTCTCTGCTCCAACAGCTCCTGCTATCTGCATCAGATCGTCTGTGGATGGCTGTACCCACCATCCTTTCAGAAGGAACCCAAAGCAAGTCACTTGGAGAATGAATCCAATGATTCCATTGTTTCTTCAATGAGATTAAAGTGTCTAGCTCAGCCCTTTTAATTATAGTTGACATTTTCTGAGTGTCAGAGCCTCCGTGTATGGACGTGTAGGTTGGGCACCACACAAGGGCACTGTGTCTAAGGGAGTGCAATTTCTAGCACAGACATCATATATTTATGTTTATTATAACAACTTTCCAGTAGGTGGCAGTGAAGTTTCTTGTTCTAATACACTTATAAAATATGATGATTTTTTCACATGGAAGTAAAGAGTCCTAAGAAAGGGACCGCTTTCTCTAATTGTCACAAAGGCACTACTTGGGCTAGTAGTCCTATCAAGTTTGCATGAACCTGGCACTCTTTTAGATATTGAATAGGTATTAACTTTTTCAAGCCTCACACTAACCTTTAGAGGTTGATAACTTTTACTAACCATTTTATAAGTGAAAAAATTGAGCCATAAAGAGGAAAAATAACTTATTTAACTTGGTAAGTGGTAGATCCAGGATTCACACCCAGAGCCTGTGTTCCTAACCACTATTCTTTGTAGTTAACTAATCTATGGTAGTCCCTGCCTCCCTGCCCCACTCTGCTTCCCGTGTAGTTCTTTGTCGTCATTGAGGATTCTAGCCCAAGTCTTTTTGGCAAATTCTTAGTAGGCCAGAGTTCACACATGCTGCATTCATCTCTGGGCTGTGGTGGCGAGGGAGCCTCCCCAGTAGTGCCCTTTGGTGCTCTGGGGATGACAGACATTTACATCCCATTCTCCCATTTGTCAATTGATCTACTCTTTGCAGTTCACAGTGCAAATGTTCTGCCCTCACTGGGGACGGGTGTAAGAGGTAGGGGTTTAGGGCTGGAAGGTGTCTGGGTGTGGGTGTGGGGGGTGGGGATGGAATACCAGGGCAATGGTAAACCGAAAGGGTCTGAGCTAGGGAGCAGGAGAACCAGGTTAGAGGGAGGGCATGTGATCCTCTCTGGGACTGAGAGGGGCTCAAGTCGTCATTTCAGCATGGAGAGGGCAATCCTGGGTGAAGGTGCTTAAATTGTGATCCTGGGGAAGATGGTGTCTGGCAAAATCTGACTTAACTCTCTCATTTCTGCCTGCCTCTTTGTCCACGTTTGTGTCTTTGCCTGTTTCTGTGTCTCTCCACACATGTCATTTCTTTCTGTCCCATCTGTCCTTCTTTCCCATCTCTCATTTCTGCCTGCCTCTTTGTCCACGTTTGTGTCTTTGCCTGTTTCTGTGTCTCTCCACGCATGTCATTTCTTTCTGTCCCATCTGTCCTTCTTTCCCATCTCTTTGCTTTGGTCTTGCTCCTGCCTTGTTTCCATTCCACCTGCTATCCCCTGCAGTCAGAGGACACAGACCTGCCCTACCCGCCACCCCAGCGGGAGGCCAACGTCTACATGGTTCCCCAGAACATCAAGCCGGCTCTCCAGCGCACTGCCATTGAGGTAAGTTCAGCCGGGGCAGGTGCTGGGGCTGTGAGCAGCCTGGCCCTTTCTCTTCCTGGGGGGCCTGGGGCCTTCCAAGCTGCTCTTCTCATTCTGTGTCCCCAGATCCTGGCATGGGGCCTGCGGAACATGAAGAGTTACCAGCTGGCCAGCGTCTCCTCCCCTAGTCTCGTAGTGGAGTGTGGGGGCCAGATGGTGCAGTCCTGCGTCATCAGGAACCTCCGGAAGAACCCCAACTTTGACATCTGCACGCTCTTCATGGAAGTGGTGAGCGTCATTTCCCTGCCATCCCCTTTCAGGGTCCTGGTGGCTAGAATTTCCTCATGGCCCCGAGCAGCTTGGGGTTGTGCTCCAACTCCCTGTGGGATCCCAGGTAGGTCACAGCATCTCTCCCACCTCACACTCTACACACTGAAGAGTTTAGGTCTGTGTGTGGTACAAAGGGGCCAGATTGCTCCCTGCTACCCAGATCCTGGATCAGCAGAAGTCCCAGAGAGCCACTCCATGGCTGTTTCCCCTTCTAGGGCAGGTTTCAGTCCCCTGGAGCTCCTTCAGAAAACTTCCAGGGCTCTGACCTTCAGTGACCCCTTCAAACCCTCCCTAATCCAGTCCTTCCTCAGCCTGGGCCCCCCAGAGGAGCCCACCCCCACAGCCCTGGTGCCCCCCAGCCCTCTCCAGCTCCTTGGTCTGCCAGTGCCTAGTGGCCATAGTAAGGCAAGTCTGAGGAAAGGAAAATGGTTTGCAAGATGAAAGTGCTATAGAAATTCCAGGCCCAGTGGCTGTCAGCAGCAGCCTCGTCTCGGCTGAGCCAAAGCCGCCACTGAAGGAGAGCATATAAATTATTTCAAGTTGTGTTCAAAGTGCTTTTGGGGTGGTGGGGGGAGAAGAGTCTCGGTCTGTAAGCCAACTCTTGAGTATCCACCTGGGGGGGACTGTCTGCAAGAGATGGGCCAACTCTCCTCTCGCCCTCCCCAGCCAGGGAGGGTTCAGGAAAAATAGACGTGTTTTAACTTCAGGCTGAACTGGATGTATTTGAAAGGTAAAGCTGTGGGGGGAAAGCCGGCCTCCACATACAGGATCTAAGAGGCAGAAGGACAAAGTGTGTGGCTTCTGCTCCACTGGCCAGCTCCTGGGTGCAGCCAACCACCATCTCGGACTTCTGGCTGTTGGGGATTATCCGTGGGTTTATGGTCATTTTCTGCTCCTTGGGTTTGTCCTGTGAGAGGAGCCCTCCCACTGTCACCTGAGACTTCCCAGAGATGGGTTCAGGCTGGTGTCCAGAGCTCCCCTCCTCCCCCACCCAGATGCTGCCTAGGGAGGAGCTCTATTGTCCCCCCATCGTGATCAAGGTCATTGACAACCGCCAGTTTGGCCGCCGGCCTGTGGTGGGCCAGTGTACCATCCGCTCCCTGGAGAGCTTCCTGTGTGACCCCTACTCAGCGGAGAGTCCATCCCCACAGGGTGGCCCAGGTAGGGGAAGGGGCTGTTGATGGGGAGGACCAGGGCAAGGGGGCTCAGAGTGGGCAGCACTTCCCAGCCGAGAGGTGTCCCGAAGCCCTTCTCGCACAGGGACTTGAGTGCGTAGTGGTTTCTACTCGGCTAGACAGGAAGGGTGGGAACCTCGCCTTCCTCAGGGTATAGCCTGGCTCTGGGCCAGGCACACCAGCAGCAGGTGACTAATACCAATGGGAACTGAGAGGTGACAGAGATGCAGGAAGACAGTGAGGTGGGGAGGGAGGAAAGAGTGTGAGGAGAGGAAGAGAGAACTGGGAGACAGGAATGTGAAGGAGGATGGGAGACACGGAAATGGGAAGGGGCAGAACTGGGTGGGAGGAAGAGAAAGATAGAGATGGAGAAGTGTAGAGAGGCTGGGGGATCCTGTCTCAGATTCCTGGCTGAGTCTTGTGGCTGAAGAGGGTCAAGCCCCTGGAGAGACCTCGTTCTCAGGCCTGGACACTACTGTCCCCTACAGACGACGTGAGCCTGCTCAGTCCCGGGGAAGATGTGCTCATCGATATCGACGACAAGGAACCCCTCATCCCCATGCAGGTAGGATGGGCACCAGGTCCCTGGGGAGAGGCACTAGCTCCCCCAGGAGCCGGCCTTGGCAGCCCCCTTCCCCTCCACTCCACACCTCTGCCCACTCCTCCCTCACCTGCATCATCACTCAGCCATGAAAACATCTTCCTCTGTACCCTGGTGGCTGGATACTGTGTGATGGAGGGACCTAGATGGGAGCTTTCAGTCTGGTCGAGGGAGGGATGTGTGGTCTTCTGGGCAAGACCCTGTCCTCTACCTTGGGGGTTGTGCTGAGGGCTTTCCCCTGGAGATCACGCAGTAACTCAGGATGGGGGAACAATGGAAGAGCAGATGGGGTGGAGTGACTGGGCAGTCTCTCAGGCACTCCAGCCCCCATCGCCCAGCCCTGGACAGGCCCCTTTTCAGCAGGCATGTTCTTCTACAGGCTGTGCTTGGTGGCAGCTTGGACGTAGCTTAGCAGAGGAGGCTGTGTCCATGTCAACAGTCCCTCTCAGCCCATTCCCCCACCTCCAGGAAGAGGAAGGGAGAGGGGCAGGAGAGGGACATTATTCTAAGTGTCTTCAACCCTGTGGGGAGGTCAGTGTTGTCCTTTTGCGGTATCCTCAGCAACCTAGGGCCAGCTGGTTACCACGTACCAATGCCAAAAAGCATGGCAGGCCTGTGGCATCTTTTACCAGGGGAGTAGCACTCTTCCCATCTTGGGCCCTGGAGTGGCTCTGGATGCTGTAGGGCTGAGCCACCCAGTCCTTCCTGCAGTGGCGAGGGAGAAGGGCCTCCCCATGAGCACCAGCCTTGAACTCACCGTCTGCTTCAGGTTGTCACCCTCCTCTCAGGCTTTGCATAATGCTGGTCACACCTTTGGCACCCTGGGGCTTCCAGAGCTTCCACGCTGCCCAGAGGCAGAGCCTCCCAGACCATGTAGACAGCACCTGTGTCCACAGGCCCACAGCCTTTACCCAGGGATGGAGTGGCAATTTAGGAGGGTTCTGTGTTCTTGAAATCATCAATCGAATATCATCCTTGAGAGCAAGAGAACAAACTAGGGTTCTGGGTTGGGCTCAGGATCCTCGAAACTAGTTCGAAGCTGTCCCTGGAGATGTGTTTATAGGGCTTCTCTCTGACATTTCGAATATCATCCTTGAGAGCAAGAGAACAAACTAGGGTTCTGGGTTGGGCTCAGGATCCTCAAAACTAGTTCGAAGCTGTCCCTGGAGATGTGTTTATAGGGCTTCTCTCTGACATTTAGGGTTGTTTTCTGCTTCTTTCTCTCTCCCTCATCTTTCTGCCACTTCCAAGCACAGGTCTCTGGCATTCAGCACTGGGGCCTCTGACTCCATACTTTGACTGATGCTAAGAGGTCCTGAGAAGCCCTGGACTTTTCATCTCTCCAGCCTCCATGGTTCTGCCCTGCCATCCATTCTTCTGCAGAGACCTCCATCCCTAATCTCTTGGCCAACTGGTTATTTTGTAAGACTCATTTTAGGTGTCTTTCAAGGAGTCTTCCCTGGCTCCTCCCTTCTTCTGTAAGACCTGTCTATGTGTCAGTCACTGTATGTGCCCTAGGACTTGCTTGTCTGTGTAAATGCCAGCATCTTCCCTAGACTAAGCTTATGGCAGCAACTAAGGTTCCTTCCTCTTTGTGTACTCAATGCCCAGCACAGGGCCTAGCTTAGAGGAAGTGTTCAATGAAAGTCTATCTGTCTGGGTGAATGGGTGAAAGTGTGGATAGATGGGTGAATGGGTAGATGGAAGGATAGATGGGTGGATGGCTGGATGGGTGGATGGCTGGGTGGATGGGTGGGTGAATGGGTGGATGGGTGAATGGGTAGATGGATGTGGATAGATGAGTGAATGGGTGGATGGATGGGTGAATGGGTGGATGGATGTGGATAGATGAGTTGAATGGTGGATGGATGGGTGGATGGGTGGATGGATGTGGATAGATGAGTTGAATGGTGGATGGATGGGTGGTGAATGGGTGGATGGATGGATGGGTGGATGGGTGGATGAATGGGTGAATGGGTGGATGGATGGGTGGATGGGTGAATGGGTGGATGGATGTGGATAGATGAGTTGAATGGTGGATGGATGGGTGGTGAATGGGTGGATGGATGGATGGGTGGATGGGTGGATGAATGGGTGAATGGGTGGATGGATGGGTGGATGGGTGAATGGATGGGTGGATGGGTGAATGGATGGGTGGATGGGTGAATGGATGGGTGGATGGGTGAATGGATGGGTGGATGGGTGAATGGATGGGTGGATGGGTGAATGGATGGGTGGATGGGTGAATGGATGGGTGGATGGGTGAATGGATGGGTGGATGGGTGAATGGATGGGTGGATGGGTGAATGGATGGGTGGATGGGTGAATGGATGGGTGGATGGGTGAATGGATGGGTGGATGGGTGAATGGATGGGTGGATGGGTGAATGGATGGGTGGATGGGTGAATGGATGGGTGGATGGGTGAATGGATGGGTGGATGGGTGAATGGATGGGTGGATGGGTGAATGGATGGGTGGATGGGTGAATGGATGGGTGGATGGGTGAATGGATGGGTGGATGGGTGAATGGATGGGTGGATGGGTGAATGGGTAGATGGATGTGGATAGATGAGTGAGTGGGTGGGTGGATGGGTGAATGGGTGGGTGAATGGATGGGTGGATGGGTGAATGGATGGGTGGATGGGTGAATGGATGGGTGGATGGGTGAATGGATGGGTGGATGGGTGAATGGGTAGATGGATGGGTGAATGGGTGGATGGATGGGTGGATGGGTGAATGGATGGGTGGATGGGTGGATGGGTGGATGGGTGAATGGGTAGATGGATGTGCATAGATGAGTGAATGGGTAGATGGATGGGTGGATGGGTGGATGGGTGAATGGGTAGATGGATGTGCATAGATGAGTGAATGGGTAGATGGATGGGTGGATGGGTGGATGAATGGGTGAATGGGTAGATGGATGTGGATAGATGAGTGAATGGGTGGATGGATGAGTGGATGGATGGGTGGATGAATGGGTGAATGGGTAGTAGATGGATGTGGATAGATGAGTGAATGGGTGGATGGATGAGTGGATGGGTGGACGGATGTGTGGATGGATGGAAGAGTGTGTAGATTACCTGCCCAGTGCCTGTATGGGTCTGAGGAGGAACCTCTCTTGGCTAGGGAAACCCAAATGAAAATTTCAGGTGGCCATACATGAAATTTAGCTAAACTCAATGCTAGTGCCTTCTGGCCTGGTTGGATGTTTATAGCTGAATTAGACAGATAATTTCCCCCAATCTCTGGGCTGCCTCCTCCTGGCTCCTGTCTTCTGCTCCCTCAACAGGCCTGTCTGAGACTGTGCAGGGAAGTGCAGGGCCTGCCCAGCAGGACTTCTGTTCTGTGTGTGCTGTCTTCAGAATGTCTGCAGACTCAGATGGGGAGAGACTATTTTAGGGCCAGAGCCAGGACTATGCTCTTTGTGGGAACACATGGACACTCTGGCTAGAGCTGCTGGCCAGACAGAGGGATGAGGAACTGGAGTCTGGGCTCCTGGAGGTGTGCCCATAGTGAGAGGAGCTAGGCCTCACCTGGCCTCAGAGGTGGGCAGGAGAAGGAGGAAGAAAGACCAGCCTGCTCTGATGGAGGAGGCTTGGATCTTGCCCTCATGAGCACTCTGTCCAATGGAGGAGACAGAGACCTATTCTCAAGGAGCACCAAGTCCAGCAGGGAGACTAGTCCTGGTCTCCAGGGAGCCCTGGCCCTCTGGGGAAGCCCCCAGTCTGGTATCTGATTTTGTACTGTGTTTTTCTCTGAGATCCATTGATCTGACTTGGCTGATCCAGGAAACTTTCCACTCACTACATTTCTCATCCATGTCCCCTGGCACTTTTGAGGACTAGGCACTCCAAGGCTGACCCAGGAAGCAGTGAGCTCCAGTTCTAGTGGTTTTCCAGATAAGTTTGGCTGAGCTGTCTCCCCCTGTGCATTCCTCCAATACAGATAGAATGAAAGGCCCTGGCCTCCAGGAACTGGAGGAAAAAGAAGTCTGCCAGCACCTGGATGTCTCCTGGCTGCTGTTTGCCCACCAGTGTTTCTCGGTGGCCCCCACTACTGTGCTCACCAAATCCTGGCTGTAGGCCTGGCCCCGGGCACCCCCCCAGGTGCAGCCTTCCATCCTGGTCCCCTCCCATCTCTTTCTTCAGTTATGCCTTCTCTCTGCTCATGAAGCCTTCTCACCACCATCTGCCCAGGTCCTGGGATGAGTCTGCCACACATTTAGAAAATGTCACTTGAGACTCTTCTGATGCTCAGGCCATGAGCTGGCACTCACAATGGAGCACTTTTCAGGTTTCTAGAAATGTTGGGAATGTGCCAAAAGTGGCCAGTTCTGGAGATGATTCAAAACATATGCATAAGGCAGATCTGTCCACTCTGCTCTCCAGGGTTCATGGGTTGGTGCCTGTCTCAGGCTGAGGAGCTCCCGGCTGGGTGGGTGCCTGGCCTCTCACACTGTTCTTCATGGTGACATGAGCTGGGATGAGAGATGCTCATGCATCTTGACTCCACCATCTGTTCTTGGTCTGTGAGGTTGTCCCATGTGTGGACTTCGGGCTGGTGGCCTGGGGGTGGGGGTGATGGGAGTGTGTGTGGTATGTGCATGAGGGCGGAGGAAGATGGGAGGAGTGTGTGCCGGCTCCCAAGGGTGCTGGCTGGAGGCATGTCTAAGGTTGGTGGTGGCGTTGCAGGAATGGTGGCCCTGACTTTTAACTTTCTAAGGGCAGGCCTGGGTGTGTCCTTGGAGAGGGACAGCAGAGGCACCCTGCTCCATCTAGTTCTCTGCTTTAAAAAAGGATAAATTTATTAGTCTTTGATCATAAATGTGATACATGTTCATTATATAAAATTTGAAAAATATAGAATATAATGAACAAATAGGCATTACCGCCACCAAACTGACAATCAGAATGTATTGCTCCCAACGTTTCATTTCTATCCTTTGCTCTCCCCTTGTGTTTCTTTTTCTTTCTCTGAATCTGTCTCTGACTCTGACTCCATTCCTATCTTTAAAACAGAATTAGGGTCTTTGCTTGCTAATCTGTTTTTTTTTTTCCTTTTTGTCTTTTNGTCTGTATGTGGGATCCGAACCCTCGGCGGGAGTGCCACTGCGCTCCCAAGCGGTGCACTGTAGCAGTGCGCCACCGGGCCGGCCCTGTTTGTTTTTTTTATTAAACTGGTTCTTGGCGTTATGATTATGAAATGGGGAGAGAAGCAGCATGCAGGAACACATGCAGGGCACGCTACCCACCCCCTCCCATTTCCTGTAGAGGGTCTTGGAGCTCAGAGTAGAGGATGGACCCTACACATCACCCCCACATCAGCCCCACATCTCCTACCTTCCAGGCATTGAGGAACCCCCAGAGCCAGCTTAGTGTGTTGAGGGCGACTCGTGCCCAGCATTCTGAGAGATCACTCCTGGGTAGGGGTCTCCTCTTTAAGAAGCCATAGAAGGAGAATTTCTGGGGGTGGAGAATATGTGTGTGTTGAGGAGGGATAAAGAGAAAGAGACCACTTGTGAAGTTTCTGCTCTGATCACAGGGAGATGAGGTGTCTAGCAGATCTCAAATGAGTGATGTCAAAGTGATGAGATGCTTTATTAAGAAGGCTGCCAACATCTTGGACTACCCTGGCCTTGCAGGGTCAGTGGGGGCTAAGTAATCAGGGAAGGTTCTCCAAAGAGGTGTGGCTGGAGAAAGCCCTCAGAAGCCAGGTGGGGCTAGAACAGGGGAGGGGAAGGGGAGGCTTTCCTGATAGGCAAAAGAGCTTGGCAAAGGCTTGGAAGTGGGACTCTGTGTGTGTGTGTGTGTGTGTGTGTGTGTGATAGAGGTGGTATGTGGCGTGTGTGCATATGTATGTATGTGGTTAGGTGGTGTGTGTGTGTGTGGTAGAGGTGTGTGCATGTGTGTGTATATGGTTAGGTGGTATGTGTGTGTGTGGTAGAGGTGTGTGCGTGTGTGTGTATGTGGTTAGGTGGTGTGTGTGTGTGTGTGTGTGTGTGTGATAGAGGTGGTATGTGGCGTGTGTGCATATGTATGTATGTGGTTAGATGGTATGTGTGTGTGTGGTAGAGGTGTGTGCGTGTGTGTGTATGTGGTTAGGTGGTGTGTGTGTGTGTGTGTGTGTGTGAGCACGAGTGTGTGGGAGGCGCGGGGTGCTAGCAAGGAGACGGACCTGGCAGGCTGGCATGGAGGAGGCATTGGCAGGTGGCACAGACTTGCTCCCCAGGCCCACGGGGTGGGGTGTTGGGGCTGGCCCACCCCCAGGCTCCTGGGCTCCTGGGATCCCAGGCTCCCAGGTTCCCAGGCTGGGGCTAATTTTGAGCCTGCTGTTCCTGTTATAGTCTCCAGGACACCGTGACGGTGGGAGCGCACTCCCAGAACTGGAGCGGCAAATTAAGCCTGAGTCCGAAAGGGGAACGTGTAATTTCTGAAGCTGGACCAGATCTTTGGAGCACTATGTTTAGCTCTATTTTCTCTCCCTTTTGCTCTGGTGAACTGCCGGTTTCCCTCTCACCTTTCTAAAAATGAACTGTGTTATAAATAACTATAAGGCTTCTGTGGGGTTCAGGATGAGAAGGGGAGGGCAGAGCTGTTGCCCAGCTGTGCCAGTCTCCTGCCAGCTGGGGTTGCACATGGAGTTCATCCAGTCTGTTCCAGGGGTTACACCATGCCCAGCAACATGTAGTCAGCACCCCAGAGCAGTCCAGTGGCCTATTGGCCATTCTTCCCTGAGAGGACCCTCAGTGATGCCCCCTTCACAGAGCAGGGATGGGTTTGTGAGTCCTCAAACTCCCTCCAGGTGCCAGCAAGGCTTCATCCTCCATGTATTTGTCCGAGCCCTTCCTGACCATCAGGAGAGTGCCTACCAGGGTCTTCCTGATGAGACAGGGAGGACGGGCAGGGCTTAGGCCCCTTGTGGAGTCTTGCCAGAGCCCTCTGCTTGAGGCTCAAAGGAGGAGAGTCTACCCTGGCAGCTCTGGCGCAGCTGGTCTCCTCACTTCTCCAGCTTGATCTCCTTTTGCCCACTGCCCACGCGTCTGCTACCTGACCCGTTGTTCTTGAATGTGCTGTGCTTCTCTCACCACTGCATTTGCTAGTCCCTCTGCCCAGAATGCATCTCCTTGCCCTTGCCCACCTGCTGGACTGGTGCTCCTCCACCCAGAGCCCCAGCACCTGCCCCTGGACTGTGGCAGTGGCCTCCAAACGAGCTTGTCTGCTCAGTCCTGAGCCCCGAGGCCTTCCTTGATGCTGCAGCCCAGGGGTTTGCCCTATAAACTATTGGTTCACAGTACTCAAAGATTGCGGGCAAGTATCCGATGCCAGAAAAGGATGCAGAAAGAGCCATGATGGAGAGTTGGAGTGTCCCAGAAACAGGCAGATTTTGGAAAGGCAGGGAGGACCTGAGAGAGTGCGGGCAAAAAACAGGCATTGGTGGAACCCTTCCACATGCCTCACCTTGTACTGGGCATGCACGGCCTTCGTCGCACTCACGCTCACTGCAGCCCTGTGAGGTGGATCTTGTGCCCATTCTCCAGATGGGGATGCTGATTCAGAGAGGCCAAGGGGCGTGCCCAAGGTCACGCAGCTGGAGAGGCAACAGAGCCAGGCTTGTCCAACTCCAAGGCACATGTTCTTTCCACTTGTGTGACCTCCCTGGAGGAAGAGCAGAGGGTGCCTGGTGGGAGACGGCTGCTTCCTTGGGGCTGTCCAGCCTTACCCGAAGTGGAGTCTGGAATCCTGTCACTAACCAGCATGTTTAATTTGTAGCTTGCAGATGGTCTGTCGAGCTTGGCCCCCACTAACATGGCATCTTCTCCAGCCAGTCCTCATGTATGTATTGTTTACCTATTTGTGGGCTCCTTGATTTCCCTTGGGGGGCTGGGGGTGGGGGTGGGGAATTTGGAGGGGAACAGAGGAGGGGAGAGTAAAAGGGGAAGAGAGGAGGTATTTCCTGAGTCCCAACAGAAAACGCCCACCTGTCTGTCCCGTGTAGTAACGGAAGGGTAGGCAGAGAGTGATGGGGTAGACTCTCAGAAACATACGTCCCTGTGTTATCTCTTGGTGCATCCTGGGATTTATCTCAATCCTGTTTCCCTGTGTGAGGGCCAGGGGGTTGGGTGGGGCTGCATAGGCCAGTGGCAGCAGGGAAGTCTCTAGGTTAGACCCTTGCTTCTGGGACAAGGGACACCAGAAGCCTCTGTGGGCGAAGGCAGGCTGACTTTCTCTGTTCCTCCCAAATGCGTGCAGGGCGTGTGTGGCTGGGGAACCCTGGCTGGCCCCGGCAGTTCTGAAAGGTCTGCTTGGGCCATTGGTCAGCTCCTGCAGTTCCCAGAAGAACACTTCCTGACTTCCCGAGCTGATTTCCTAGGTGTCATCTTTCTGGGTTGTGGGTCCCTCCAGCAAGATGACTTTGGTGTCTAGCCTTCAGCATGAACCCCCAAAGTCCCATGCTGGGGGCCAAGGGGAGCCCCTGACCTGCTGGAGGAGTCATAAGAAACAGGACCTGCTGAGAGGCAGTGACTTAAACTCCATTTATGGTGGCAAGGGGAAGCATTGCTATATTGGGTGTCTTATGGGCTTCTAGGAGGAGGAAAAATATATTTCTAATTTTTAAAAATTTATCTTTTGTGGAAAACGCAAAAAGTGTGAGACAGAGTTAAAACCACTTGTGTTTCTACCAGTTAAAGATAAACACTGTTAAGATTTTGATCTACATTTTTAGATATCTTTTATGCACATGTACATACTTTTTAAAAACAAAATTTGAATCATATTGTACTTTTTTATAATCTGCATTTTTTTTAACTTAGAGGTATATTGTAAATGTTTTTCCATATTTTTATATTCTTTAAAAATATGGCTGCATGTCATATGAACATCCATAAAGGTTTAACTGCTCCTTATCATCGGAAATTTAATTTGTTAATTTCCCCTATTGTCTTCTTTTATGTCCCTTAGAGGAGTTATTTTAGCTTACTTTATATAGATCCAGCCCATTTCTTGTTAAAATTTATTCCTAGGCATTTTATAGCCTTTGTAGCTATTCTAAATGAAATATCTGTTTTTCTTATGGCTTTGGCTGACTATTGCTAGAATACAGGAAAACAATATTTTTGTATATTTACTATGAAACAGACTATTAAGTTCCTTCATTAGTTTTAACAATTGTTAATTGATTCTGTTGGGTTTTCCAGGTAGATAATATTGTTTTCTTCAAATAGTAATAAATGCGTCACTTTCTTTCTAATAGTTATGTTGTATTCCTTTTTCCAGAATAACATTCAATATTGAGATGTTAGAGAGCAAACTTAGTCACTGATTCTAAAGAGAATACCTCTTCCAATTTTCCATTAATTATGATAATGATTGGTAGTTTCAGATAGGTATTCTTGATTTTGTCAAGGTTGTTAGTTTATTAATAGCTTAAAAATTAGGTATGGAAGATTAATTTTATCAAGTGACATTTGGTGTTTATCAATATGATTATTTTCCATTGACCTGTTGATATAATTTATAATTGTTCTATATTCTTGGGGCAAACCCAAAGTGGTCGACTGGTCATGGTATCACAGTTCACTGCAACTGAAGCCCTCTTATGTTACGTAGTCAAGACAGGTAGTTGGCTGGCTAACTGAAAAAGCTGGTTAAATAGGGACCCACTAACAGGCATACGTATTACTGTAATTATTTTTAACCATGTCCGTGTGTCTTCATTTGCCAATCATTTGACATATGCCAAGCCCTCTTCTTTGAATTTGGATGTGCTGACTTGAATGTCATGTCATCCTTGTGGTAGAAACCACATCCAAAATGTGTTATCTAGGATTTTAGCTTTAGGTTTATTAAAGTTTGATGAGAACTTAATGATACTTGCAAAAAAATCTGAGTGTAGAGTCCTTAAGATCTCCCTTACTCATACTTAATTTTCATCATTTTTTAAAAAAAGCATTAAATTAGTAAAATTTTATATGTTTTTGTAATATGTAATTTATTTATTTATCCAGTTACCATATTAGTACAAGATTTGGGAACATACACAACTGACAGTTGGTAAACATGCAACTCATCTGCTAGAGCTGCAGCGAGCAAACTAGAGTAGCCACAGGCATCCAGCTGGCTCTGGACCATCGTCAGACTGTCCGCAGACAGAATGGGTAGCGTATGTTAATCTTGGCTAAGAGGAAGTTTGCATGGAGGACTTCTACTATATCTTATTGACTTAGATTTGCTGCTACTTAGGATTTTTGCATCTCTATTATTACTTTTAGGTTATCTTTGTTAGGCTTTGATATCAGGATTATACTAGTTCCCTAAAATATTTTTCAGGTGTACTCCTACTTCTGTGCTCTTGGAACAGTCTCTATGGCATGGGAATTATTCCTTCTTAATGGTTCAGAAACACAAGGGTACTACCGAACTTTCATGGAAAGATTCCTATTATCTTTTAATTCCATTTTTCCATGAATGTTTTGAAGTACCCTCACACATTAGAGCCACTCTTCATAAATTTGAATTATGCAAGTTGGAAATTATATGGTATAAAAATTTTAATAATCTGGCTTTACATACAAACTGTGTTAATAACATGAATCAATCTAAATTTAAAAAATGACTAACAGTCATGTACTTTGAAAGGTGTTGGATTTGTATTTATGGTTTAGCTGATAAACAGGATATCCATTGTCTTTTCTTGAAAATGGTGTTCTATTATGTGAGTTTTGAATTATAAAAGATTTTCAGGAATGCATATCTTGTATAATCATGTAATAGATGCAAGTGCCCTGTACTTCTTTGTAAAACTGGGCTCAGCACCTTTTTTGGCAAGGAATTCTTTGAACGTTTTCTACTTTCTTCAATCATCCTGGTGCCTTAGATGGCCCCCGATATTGCTTATTAACACTGGTATCGATTTGTACATACTACTACAATAAAAGAGAATGCTTCTGTATCTGAACTGTTTTCATTCTCATTCCTAATTTTGTATATTTGTGTTATATCTTTTTTCTTTATTAGGCTTAATAGCATTTCATCTATTTTACAGTTGTTTTTTATCCAAAGATCCAGGTCTTTAAAAATTCTGCTGATGTTAAGTTAGTTTCTTTAATTTCTAGATTCAAGTCATTTTTGAGCTCTCTCACTCTGAAATTGCTATTATATATTTTGGATATCTTGGGTTATCACTTCATCTCTCTCTATTGTTTTTTAAAAGAAACCTTAGAAAGAAGATACTTGTTTACATTTTCTTATAAAAATTCTGAAGTTTTGCTTTTCATACTTAAGTGCTTATTCTACCTGGAATTGACTTGTGTATGCAAACTGTGAGGTAGAGATTAGACTTCCTTTTATTTTTTCCCATATAGATAACCAATGAGTTTATATCGTCATAGAAAGATCTATCCTTTCTCATTGATCCGTAATGACATCTGTGCCGTATAACGGGTTTCCACATACGTGTGGGTCTGTTTGTGGGCTCTCTAGTCTGTCCCACTGGTGTATTAGTCTTCCTCTATATTCCACTGTCTTATTTATTATAGCTTTCTAGTAAGTCTTGCTATCTGGTAAAAGAATTACTCCACCTCGTTCTTTTTTAGGAGTGTCATTTCTATTCTAGTCCTTTGCCTTCCCACCTCGATTTTAGAATTAGCTTGTCAACTTCTTTAAAAAAAAATGTTGGTATTTGTGATTGAGTAACAGTGAATCTCAGGATCAGTTTGGGGAAAACAGACATTTTTATAGTACTGTCTTTTAACCATGAACATGATACATCTTTCCATTTGTTTAGGTCTTTAATGTCTTTTGGTAAATTTTTATAATTTTATTTTAAAAAGTCTGATACAACTTTTATTAGACTTAGTTCTATTTTATATTTTTTTGTTCTTTTTACTTGAATTTTTAGAGGTACATTTTCTCATTAGTTTTTGTTTATATATGAATGGAATTGATTCTCACATACTGATTTTATATCCAGAAACTTTGCTAAACTCTCATTAATTCTTCTGGATTAAGTCTTGATTAAGTCAATTCTTTGAGAATTTTCCTGTGTTTTCTATGTAGTCAGTCATGTAATTTGTGATGAGTCACAGTTTTGATTCTTCTTTGTATGTTTTGTTTTATTCTTATTTATTTTTTTGTTGTCAAAATGTTTATTTTCTTTTTCTTTTTTTCATTTACTTAATATAAAGATCTCTATAATATATGTTTATTTGAGTTACTCTAGGTAGAGATTAAAAGATTAGTAATCAGTCCTTCCCATGAAGAAGTGTAGAGTTATCTGTGTGTAATGGGTGAACTGGAGGGGTGATCATGAAGGTAAGGGGAAACACACGTAACTATACTGAAAGCAGAATATGCTCTTAAATGCAGAATATCCTAAGAATCATAGGTGATGACATTTTATTAGAGACCCAAAAAGGAAGATGTTAAATCTAGTTGTGGCATAGAAGATATCAAGGTAGAATTTCAGTTATTGTGCTATAGCATTAGTACAATCAATTTCAGATCACAAATAATTGAGGAAGAAACAAGGAATGTCAGAGGTCGTGTTTGTGGACATTTTTCAATAAGTGTGATTTACACATATATATATTTTAGAATTAAAACTTGTTTTGAAGACTTTAGATTTATTTATTTATTTATATTTATTTTTATTGGTTATGAATATTCATGGGGTACAAAGCTGACCTTTTCTTGTCTTATTGCATTGGGTAGGACCTTCAGTTGGATGTTTTATGTAACTGGTTATAGAGAGTATTCTTTTCTACTAATTTATTTATTTTTTAAATTGAAATGTATTGATTGTACATATTTATGGGATACAGAGTTATATTTCA